TATATTCAGCTTCCTGGAAGGCGTGGCATCGCACTCGCACAGCGCTGGTACAACCAAACACCTCCCACTTTGGGAATTGTTTAATTGCACGCCTATTCACAAAAATTCATTTGTTTATTTACAGTGCCGGAATTAAACAACGTGACGGATGCTCGGATTCAAGTTATTAAAATTGTTTTGAATTGAGGGCTAATAAAGTTCCGACCCTTGACTTAAAGCTTATATCATTTCGCCATCATGCAACATAAATGACCAAACACACTAATAGCCCCGTTTTGGGTGGCAAAATGCCCCACTTGTGGTAAATTATACCTAGAGGCCTGCCTATATCTTATCTATAAATACAGCAAACCAATATCTATCCATTTTAAGTATATCACATAATCTCATAACAATATATATATTTACATATATCTATATATCTCAAACAACTAAAACATAGTATATATATCTGCACTATATATAAAACTATCTATATTAATATAACTATCTATATCTCTATATCTCTATCTCAATAGTAAACTCTATACATAATAACCCCTCTATATACATAAATCATACATAACTCTCCATATAAAAACAAATATATACCTATATATACCTATAACTACATATATCCTAAAACCTCTATCACCATCTCTCTCCATCTATATCACAATATATATACATAAGCTAATCACATATCTATACCAGCTCTCAGACCTATATCACCATAATCACCCCTAATCACCCAATAACAAATCCAAATAAATCCATAAAAAATACATCTCTCAACATATATCTACATCACTCTCACCTCTATGATCCATCTATATCCCAATATCTCCATATCACCAACTATAGTATCTATCTATATATCTCTCAATAGAAATCTATATCAACTAGAAAAAATAGACTCAAAATTACTATGTATATAATATATAAAACATAAATCTGAACTGTATTTTTAACCCAATGTGCCAGGGAAAGTTCCCCCAAAATGGGGAAAATATTGTGCCCACTTTCTATGTTTTTCGTGAAATGTCTGCCGATAGATGGCTCTGCTAGCGCCTGATTTAAATGGCGGGAAAAACGTATTTTTCACTAGTGCTATGAAAGTCGATGGTGTTATCTTTATCATCAACATTATAATTTTTATTTATTTTTTTAACATTAGTAACAGCAAAATAAGATTACGTAAAATATTTTGTAAATCAAAGAAACGAGTAAACGGGCGAGACGGGCGGTGCTCGTAACTGGCTCATTGGGGAGTTAGTACAAGTGTTGCCATCTATGCGTAAAAACAATCAAACAAGTACTCACTGTGGGCATAGCACGTACGTAGACGTCATACCCGGCACCAAGGGGTTAAATAACATATATCCAATATATATATATCTATATTATATATATATATATATATATATATATATATATATATATATTTATATATATATATCTCATATAATGTAAATATAATGTATATACAATGTATATATGATGAGTATATATAATGTATATATATAATGTATATATATATAATGTATATATAACCTATATATATAATATACATAATGTATATATAATATATAACGTATATATAATATATATGATATATAAATATATATCATATATATATAATGTATATATCTAAAATTCATATATGATATATATTATATATATAGGAGAGGGCTTCAAAAAGTTTGTGGAAAAAGACCGTAACTAAAAATCATATGGAAGAATTTTGATTTCAATGCACCTGAACTTTCTTGTATTAACATGTTATAATGTGTTCAAACATGAATCTTTAACCCTTTCCCAACGGGGAAAATTAATAAAAAATGGGGGGAAATTCTGTGCTCATGTATTTTTACAAGTGCTATAAATATAGATGGTGTTATTCATATTATAAACATTATAATTACCAAAATGTTATAAACATTTGTAACAGCAAAATAAAATAACCTTAAATATTTTCGTAAATCGATGAAAAGGGTGAACAGGCGAGACAGGCGGTACTTGTAACTGGCTCATTGGTGATTTACCACAAGTGTAGCCGTCTATGTGTAAAAACAATTAAATAAGTAAACTCACAATGGGCATGCCCATGTGAGTTACTTGTTTGATTGTTTTTTCACATAGACAGCTACACTCGTACTATTTCACCAGTGAGCCAGTTATGAGTACTGCCTGTCTCGCCTATTCATCCTTTACATTGATTTATGAAAACATTTTACATTATCTTATAACATTAGAGCAATTATGTCTATAATAAGAATATCATCATCAATATTTAAAAATACATTTTTCCACCCAATTCAAGGAAAGGTGAAATCAGGTAAGGTCTCAAGATCTATTAATTGACTCCTTTGTGGCCAAGCACTAGCAGAGCCACACATGTACAGAGACAACTAAAAAAAAAAGAGCACAGCATTTTGCCTATTTTTTTATTCATTTTCCCCGGTGGCATTGGGTTAACAGGGAAGAAGTTCAACAGGCCTTCACCACACTTTACAGAACT